GCGCACTTCCGGGAAGGATTCCAACAAGTCTCAATGGTCCTCCTCACACTGGCGGAACCAATCGTGGGGATACCCACCACAGAACAAAAACCGCTGGGACATGCACCACCATGGCGCCAGCCACACCGGCCACCGAAACAACCAGGGCAAACGATCGTCCTGGTCACTGCAGCACCATGGGCAGCAACCCCACCCCACTTCCCGCACCGGCCACCACAACACTAGCTTGCCCCCTCACCCAGCACCTGCGGCGGCCTTCACTTCCACTCCCCCTCCCCCTCCCCGACCCACGCCGGCTACTCCTCACCCTCCCCAACCCCCCTTCGACAACACCGGTGATTTGGATCCCCCTCCATCGGAGGCGGACATCAATGCCACCACCACTTCCGACAACCGGTGGCTTGATCTATGGAGAAACGTCATGGACACGGCCAAGACTGACCCGCTGCGAGTTCCCACGCCTAGGGAGTTGGGGGAGCTGGACCCGCTTCCAGCCTTGGACATCTCCAGGGTGGAACAGACTAAGGCCATTTTGATGGACCTGGACCCTGCTTTGCCACCTTCACATGCCGATCTCCTCGCGGAATGCTGGGAACTGCGAACCATGGACACGGATGATCCCATACCGTTCGATCCCAGCTTCTACCACCTCTTGGGACGGGAATCACACGGCATGGTGTTCGCAACCACTTGGTTTCCCCGACCTCATCCTTGGCCAGTTGCTGGCGGAGACCCGGAAGCTGGATCCGGCACGGCCTCCCATCACGCTGTCATGTATGTGCACGGCACCACCCCGGATCGAGTGCGCCGCATGTGCCATGAGAACATGATCCGACCCGCTGCTTGGAGGCCCGAGAACCATGACTACCCGAGCTTTGGATGCTACGCTCAGGCCACCCCCACGGCATGCACGCCCGACACGCTCGGCCAGCTCTTGCAGAACTTTACAATCGGAAAGTCTCAACTCGGCGCCATCGCTTTTGGGGAACTACGCTCCATCAATCAGCACAAAATCCTCGAATCCGGGGGAAGCCACGAGGATCAACACAACGTGCGGCGCCACTTCGCATGCCGCCGAGGCAAAAAGTGGTGCCTTCACTCCAAGTTTGCGATGCTGAGAGGCATCGCGCTGCAGCGCCCGGCTTAGCGGGGCGCAAGTGTACCATCTTCCACCCAACCAGGAAAAGAATTGGTGCACTGTTTGATCGCCTTTTTTCTTTGCTTTGCTGTTCTGCCTTTCCGCGACCGTTCTCTCACCTTGTGACCTTACCCGCTTGATTCCGCTCACCAGCTTTTGGTTCGAACATTTCCTTTTCCCCCGTGTTTTCTCATGGCTTTCCAACCCCCTCGAGGTTTGGTTACGGCACTCCAAAGGCAAAACTTACCACCGCAGCCTTCGCCCACGGCATCCCATCATCATGGCATCGTGTACGGCAACAACATGGCCGGGAACCCGTGCGGGGCCCTGTCCGGGCCTTCCTACGGATGCTCTTCCACGGCATCGGCACCGCCAGCTACACATCCGACTCCCTGTCAGACCTACGGCCAACCTATTCCCCGTTACCCACCACACCCCGGCCCTCGTCCACCCTCCTTTGGCGGCTCTCTCCCCCCCCCTCCCGGCGGCAACCCCTTTTCCCCCCCCTCCCCCCGGCCCCTTCTTCGGCATGAAGCGACCACGGTTGACTACACCTGACACATCACCGCAGGACGGATCCCCCGCTCTACCCCTGCCCACTCGCATTGCAGACGACTCCCAACCCCCCCCGGCTCCCCCCACCCACGGCGGCAACCCTCCAGCCCTCCACCCACGGCGGCACCCCGACCCCTCCCCCCCTCCCCTCCCCACCCACTTGGAAGGAGCCCCGCGACTTGCTCCAACCACCTCCCCACGTTTGCCAATGGCTCACCAGCAACTTCCCACCCGACATTTCCGACACCAAAGTCCAGCGATGGATCACCTCTCAGAAAACCAGCAAAGAGAGCAAGCAAGTCCTAAAAAGCTGGTCCAACGACTGCGCAAAATGAGCAACCACACTGGACTCCGACACCAGAGCCCAACTCGAACGAGCCGCTGTGCTATGGGGCATCCCGGTGCGAACCCTATCAAAACTGGGGTCATCGGCCTTGGGCCGCATCCTGGCCGCTGCGAGTCACTTCTACCAGTGACTCTCAACAGCACACCGACAACGACGCACAGCCAGGCAGCACAAATTTTGGCAACACCACTGCTGCCAACTTCTCACTGTCCTCCGTTTCACTCTTCGGTTCTTCCCAACCGATGACGTCACCGCACGTCATTCTTGCTCCTGGCTACTCGCACAGCTTCAGCTACTTGACGTCTGCCATCTCTCCTGTGGTTCCGGCAGACTGAAAGCCCTGCTTACTCGACTTGGCCTGGACAACCCTGCTTCCGATTTCTCTTCTCAGCTTGTCCCTTCAGCGGTTTATCTGAGATTCACCAGCCATCCAAAGTGGCAGGCCTTTTTCTACCTCGGAGCCACTCGCGCCTCCCTCATGGCACGGGGCCGCAGCCAACTTCGCAAACTACTCCAAGTTCAGCGACATCATCTGGTCAATGCCGAACTGGCAGTCCGGTGGTGGGCACATTTTGACTTTTTCCACCACTACACCTCGGTGCCCATTCACACTGTCGTTCCGGCAACGGACCTATTTGCCACTGAACAGTTCTACATCCAGGAACTGCAACCGTCTCTCAATTTTGGCTTCATCGAGAAACATTTCCGGCCACGCACGGGCTTCATACGCCAATTGGACTTCTCCCAATCCCGGCACATGGGCTTCGCCACCATCTGGCGAAAACGCCGCCGACTACGACTACCCATCGCCCTACAACAGGCCTTCCTGGCCAAACGCGTGGACAACCGCCTGGATTTGTGGCGATTTTTGGGCGATCTTGGCAGCAACACTCTACGACGATTTGATGCCATCCGTTACATACGGAGCAGAGACTTCCCACCCGCCGCTCTCTATGTCCTTCATCGCATAGCCACACACCTGCCTGAACCACACCACCAGGCATGCCTTTCCGCCATTCGATCCAGTTTACGATTCCGGGGCCTCATTCCACCTGGCCCCTCCAGACCGATGCTTGCACCCTTCCTCGCCTGGCGACTACTGCTAACCTGGTACCGACAACGACAACCACACTCCTCTACCACACACCTCACAGTGGACACACTTGACACCTCTGCCATCACCCGCGTCTACAACGGACGCCGTCGCCGACACAAACCCACACAACGCACCCTGTGGCTCGACGACATCCCCGAGATCATTCAGGCCACCCTTGACATGCAGATCTTCTCTGTCGGCCTTCGTTCATTCAGGCAAACACGTGGGGCACCGATGGGATCCCCCGCGTCCCCAGCTCTCTGTTTGATGGTGATCGCGGTCGCCGAACAATGTTGGACCAACACTCACATCACATCGGGACTTCGCTCCGTTGAAGATACTCTCCTACTCCGCTACGTGGACAACAGACTCGTGATCGCAACCCCCAGGCGGCTCTCGACTCCGGCAGCCAACATACTGTGCGACGAACACTTCTATGGAGGAGACATCTTCCTGGACACAGAAGCCGCCCTGGACTTCTTGGGGTTCCGACTGAACCTCACAAGCAGCACCATCTCCTTCATCCCCTCGCATGAGAAGCACAACATGCTCTCCGTCAAGTCAGCCGCACCACTGATGCATAAGGAATCTGGATGTTATTCCGGACGCACGCTGATCAACCGAGTTTCCTTTCCTGAGTTTCAGCGAGGTCAGGGTCTTGCAATGTTGAAGAGGTTGCACCTCCAACACGGTTTCACCTTACAAAGAGAAGAAAAACCGTCCTTTGCGGAACCACACTGGTTTTCTTCTCTGCCTTTGCATCCTGACAGATTTGACCTGATTTTCGCGCCGCAGCTGTTTGACTGTTTGACCAAAATCCGTTACGAGCATGGATACCAACACAGCACGCCAGCTGCTCCAAGACTTCGAACTCATCCTTGGCATTGCCCAACAAGGCATCGCCACCATCCGCGAGTTCCCTGAGAGTCCGCCTGCCGAACCTGATTTGGCACCGGAGGCCACGCTCAACCCCGCCATTGAGGACCTGACCAACTCACCACCAACACCCCTCCTGGCCCCCCTCGAGGACCTCTTTGAGCCACCTCCTGATGCTCCAGATGAACACCTTCCCACTGATCATGACGAACAATTCCCTGATCATTGGGCTCCGCCCACCCCTCCTCGTCTTCTCCCGGCGAAAAACGAGCTCGCCGCGCACGTGATTTGGCCTCCTCACGATCTACGGCATCCAAAACCTGCTCGTGGACCAAGCGAAGCTACCACATCGACCAGGACTGATGCCTCTACTGAGGCCGAACCTGAAGCCTCGCAGCCTTGGACTGAGGGAGAGATTGAACTCCTCCGTTCCCTTAAGACCAATTCCAAAGCCAAGTATGTGTGGTCAGTCATCGCCACAAGACTTTCTCGCACAATTGATGCTTGCAAGACTCAATGGGCCTTGCACAAGTGATGTCGCCCCAGTTGGGGCTCCGTGTGTGTGAAGCGTCCTGGAGCACGGACGGAAATTCCACATTGCAGGGGGACTGGAGCCGATTTGCCTATCCAGTCCAATGAAGCTACGGCATTTCGGTGGATACCGGATCTGATCAATCCGGCGTACCTGCCTATTTCCTGACCCTCTTTCCTGATTCTTTTTGCGGTTTCTGTTTGTCGCTGTTGCTTCCTGTTCGGTGTCGATGTTGTGACCTGTTGATTTGCATTTGCATTCAAGCATTTTTACTGACTGCGTTTTGCATCTCGGCTAGTGAAGCCTCTCGAGATAAGTGTGTGTGTGTGGGTGCGTGCGTGCGTGTGTGCGTGCGTGCGTGCGTGCGTGTGTGCGTGGGTGTATGTGCGTGTGGTTGTGCCTGATTGATGTTTCCTTTGTTCCTGATTTGTCGTTTGTTGTGGACTGGGGATGTCAGGCATGTGAACGCCTCAGACGGCTTCGCGGTCATCGTGCCGCTGCAGCACATTGCCCGGGCTGTGGCTGTGCAGTGGGATGCGCCAGTGCAAGCACTCGGCGCTCGCGTGGAGGTTGAGGAGGAGGTGTGGATTTCAGAGGTTCTGGTCATTGGGAAACAGAAGAAAGAAGGCGTGCCGATGAAGAAAGCTCAGCTTCGTACGGACCGGCGTGCCTCCTCTCAGTCACCAACAGGCATAGGTTCAGTCTCCATTGTTCAAGAGGCTGAGCTGCCCAGCACAGCTTTCACCACTTCCGTGCAGATGCATGCCATGCCAGATAGTGTTACGAACGATTGGGAAACGAAGAATTCTACCATCCCGCATTTCCCAGAGGCTCATGCCTTCCTAAGTCCATGGCCGCAAGACCGGCGGTCAGACCTGGGCATCAAAACCGGCTTCGGAGCCTTGCTGGCAGCAGTGATTCTGATCCTCAAGTTCAAGCAGAACGCCTTCAAGGTGTGCAGGGCCAACGACTTGGAGTACAACTACGACCCCCTGCCGGCAGAGGTCAGGGACTGGCCCAACATCTTGGGCGCCCAGGAAAGGCGGGAAGAGGAAAGGAGACACGAGGAGAGGGTCCACCAAGAGAGCCAAACGGAGGGCGGGCTAGGGATGGCACCGGCCTTGGCTCGCAGCCGGAGTCGCAGCCTCGAACGTACGGCCTCGGAGCCGGAGCCAGAGCTGGAGCTGGACCCAGGGGCCTCCAACTCTTCCGCAGATCATTCCGAGGAGGAGACGTCGCAGTCCACGCAGTCCACGCTGTCCCTCGGGATCCCACGCGGCTCCTCCCGCGCCTCGAGCTCCACCGAGTCCGAGGCATCCGTCGCGCCCTCCGCGCCCGCGCACGTCGCGGCCTCGGCCTCCGAGGTGATCATGCTCTATGCATCCCCGCTGGCCTTCCGGGACGGGCGCGGCATGACTCCACTGCCTCAAATCCCGGTAGAGAAGGAGTGGGACACCTTGACGGCAGCCTACAATGAGGCATGCCAGGTACTTTGCCGGTCCGCCGCTTCGCCCAGTGTCTCAATCAGCGCTCAACCCTTGACTGCTGGCAATCTGCAGCGAGCCATTACTACCTGGCATCCCGGCGTGCTGCACCTATCTGCACATGGGGTTCAAGATTGCCTAGTGCTTGAAGATGGGGGAGGAACTGCGCACTTCTTCAGCTTCTGGGCTTTTTTAGCTCAGGATTGGGCGTGCGAAGACAGAGGGTTCAATGTTTCGTTCAACCGTGTTTTGATACGCAAGCCGAGGTTGTGAGATGCTGCATGGCATGTTGGAGTTGGCGGGCAGCTTGCGACTGGTGCTGCTGAATGCGTGCTCCTTGTCCTCCATGGGGTCTCAGTTTACCGCGGCCGGCGTGCCTCACGTGATTTGCTCCTCTGCGGACCTCAAGGATTCGGCTTCTCACGTGTTCCTCCGCAGCTTCTACCTCAATTTGTTTCAGGGGACTAGCGTGCAACGCGCCTTCAATGAGGCCGTGCTGGCCCTGCGCAGTCACTCCGAACGATCTTTGCAAGCCGCCAGCCATCACTTCTGCTTGCTCCCCGAAGGGCCGCACGAGGAAGTCTTGTTCCCTCCGAAGCGGGGTGACGAGTCGCCGGACGCGAGCCAGAGTGATGATGCCGGAGACTGAGCTGAGTGACTGAGTGAGTGACACATCGTGACACGTCTCAAGACATCAACTTGAGATCGATTTGCAGGGCGGCCGCTCCCGACGCCGGCGGCGCAGGCCAAGGCCAGAGCATGCCAGAGCATGCCAGAGCACACGAGCACACGAGCACACGAGCGCACGGGTCGGCGCGATTCGGCCATGTATGCTACGTGAGGCGAGGAAAAGCCCAGGCGCCAGTTGGATCAATGGCCATGTCTCGGTCTGTCGTTCTCTGCAGGCTGGCATGGCCTTGTGCTGCAAGTTGCCACCCCTGCCAGAGGACGGATCTGTTGGGCTTTGCACGGCAGGGGGTTGACAATCTCAATTAGACCCAATCACATGCCGGATGCCATGCCAGACTTGTTTGTGCGTGTGACATTGGCGATTTCGGCTACAAGCTTGCGAGATCACATCTGACATCATCTCACAGATTGGCAGTGCTGACAGCAAGTCCACCTTGCGCTTGAAGACTCGACTTGATTTCTTTTGCCATGGAGCCGCCGGACTTGGAAGAGGTGTACAGGTGAGCCGCGGCTTTCCTTTTTCCTTTTTCTTTGTTTCCGATTTTCGATGGAGGCCTTTCGAGGATCCAAACCTGCGGAGCGCTGTGGAGGCCGGGGATTGATCCCAAGGACGACTCAGAACGGCTCAAATCATGAGCTCAAGTCGCTCAAGTGCCATGCGTTTGATTTCACTGCGTTGCTCAGCCAGGAGAGCTTTGATGTTCCCATGCGAGGTCGGTCAAGTTTCTGATCCTGGTCTGTCCATTTAAATGACGCGTCGATTCGGGAAACCAATCCGCTGAATGTGTCTGAGACGTCAGCTTTGGCCATGCACGTATGGGTCAGGAATGCGAGGAAAAGCCACAGCCCATGAACGAGTTGGAGTTTATGGGGCTGGATCTTCCGACACGCTTGCTTGACGCAGAGTTTTGTCTGTGAGAGGGCTCGGTTGGACTTGAGAAGCGGTGACATAGCAGCAATCCTCGCCAGTTGGATGCTTACCCGGCATGGGCCTTATGTTGCGGGTACTGAAACAGGGGAGTCGGGACCCGGGCTTCATGTGCTCAGGAAAGCTCACCTGCGCCAACCTCACAAAAGATATATGCTTCGTGTTTCTAGCGTTGTGCTTTCGCACAGGTGGTGGATCTATCGCAGGCTGGCTTGTAGCTTCGAGAGCTTCGGACTCCGTCTCGTGCCCGAAGGCGCAGGCGCAAGCGCCAGCGGCGCAAGCGGCACCACCGGCCCGAGCTCCTGCTCCAGCTGTTCCAGCTGTTCCAGCTGCTCCAGCTCCTGCCGCAAGCCAAGTGCTGCAGCGTGCTTCGTGTCGAGCCGTGCTTTCGCTGAGGCCATGAGCCGTATTCCGGCCAATGCAAAAGGCTCGAGTCTCGGTACCTTCCGGCGCCTTTGCCGATCAAAGCGAGGCTTTGGCTCTGACGACCTCTTCGGGGCTAGGCACCGCATCAGATCGGACGATTCCGCATCGATCTGATAGCTTGAAGTCGAAAGGCAGAAGGAGTCCTCCATGTTCGAGTCGATGTGCAAAATGTTGCCCGAGCAGGTCGGAGGTCACAGGTCGCACAGCCACGCTTTGGCTCCTCGCCTAGGTGACACAGCGCGTCGACTGCCTGGCTGTGTCCACTGAGCCCGAAGAGGTTATAGAGGCGCCTCGCTCCGCGGCCTCGGCCTACTCGAATTGGCATGCCTTGGCACAGGCGAGGAGTGTGGCTGCCTGAGTTTCCCGCGGTTGCCCGCGGTTTTTGGACTTGTGGTTTTGTGCACTTGACCCAAGGCCGATCCAGTCACGGCACAGCACACGGTGGGAGCATCTCTTGAATCGGGAAAAGAAAAGATAAAGGAAGTCTCGTCGAGTCGCTCTCAGAGACTAATCTTCCAGGCTACTGCAGTCAACCGATCAATGGAGGGCCGATGGGTGCGGCTCTAACACCGGGCCGCATGCGTGCCGGTTTGCACAGCTCGCACCTGAGGTGCCGACCTACATGCGGCAGCAGTTGGCAGCCGGTGGTCACACAGCTCTTCCTTCGGCCGGGCCACCCAAGCCACGCAAGCCACGCAAGCCACGCAAGCCACAAGGCCGTTGCTTGGGCTGAACTCCCTGAAGCGTTTTACGTCCAAGTGTCAACTGTCCTTGGTCAGTGAAAGGCTAAGCGTTCGACCATGTAGCTTGTACATTGTTGCGCATTGTTCTCGAGAAATATGCTTCAGATCACTTCACATAGCAAAGCATCAAGCAGTCAATCTGTTTCCTGAACCTTGCTGGGAAGAGGGGTCAGTGACATTTTCTGTGCAAGTGGCAAACTGGCAAGGCGCTATGGACAAACGAAACGCAGCTTGGCGTACAGCCGGCGGAATGCGTAATTGGCATGGGGCTCAACTCGCTTCCAGCTCATGCGTGACTTGCAAACTCGGAGTGTTGGGGCCAATAGATGCGATGATCCTGATGGTTCTCTGTCCAGCAGTCTGGTCAGAGGGCATTGGCTCGCAACGGGCAAGGGCTGGGCAAGCCTACAAAAATGACTGAGATATCTATATTCATCACAATTGCTTTTGATGGATATGGCGGAGATGCATTGATTTTCGTGGGCAGAGTTGAGCGTGAGTGCAAAGAAGGCGGACGAAGGCCATTGGGTCGCATTACTGCGCACATCAGCTTCATCCCGCTCAGCCGCCAACTCAGATGGTCTCCTTTCTCTTTGTTTCAAGTTTCTCTCGCGTTCCTTCCACGTCGAGTCTCCTGCTCCTTTTCTCGGTTGTTTTCTGATGTAGTAAATTTTGTCGCAAGCTCGGCTTGACTGCCAGCTGAGAAGCTGCTCACGGCCTGTCCGTTCAAAACGGCGCTGAAATATGTGAATCACGCCGGGCGGAAATAGCCACACATGAGAACACAAGGGGGCGAACACGCTTTGTTTGCGAATGCGTACGCGGCCCAAAACGCAGTGCAACACGGACGAAAGCACTGGACCGTATCGCAGTGGATACCTGAACTTCAGAATGCGCCTTCAGGCGCCCAACGGCCACGAATTTTCCGCGACTTCACAGCCACCCTCCTGTGGGCAGGCCTGGAAACTGGGGAACGATTGAAGCCATGTGGGCAAGACGTGTGGTCTGATAGGCTTTTGTCGACATGGGCCCTGACCCGAGCTGGAGGAAGCGATGCGTTGCGTTGTAGCGTGTTGCTTTGGCTTAGGTCAGGACTTCAGCGAGGGGGCTCAAGCCGTGCTGGAATTCATGGCGGCGTTCTTCACCAGCCTCACCTTCCAATGCCAGGCGTCGAGCGCACCGTTTCTATCGATCGTAGGGAATTCTCCCAATTCTCCACCCGGGATGCGAGGCGTGCGGCCAGCATGCCATCAGCACGGCGCACGAGCAGGCGCTATGGCGCTTGCCAGCTGTGTGCGGTTACGAGCACCTTTTAAAGTTTCGGTGATTCGCAACATGTCAAGTTGCTCATATGTTAAACTTGGAGCAACTGTATACCTAATTACCTGATGTGATGAACCTGTGTGTGAAGTGAAGCGCAGTTGTTTTCCTCTGGGCAATGATGTACTGTCTACTGTAAGTTCCTCTTGGCAGTGTTGTAATTTCTGCTTGTAGGAAGAACAAGCCATCTCTGTTCTCCAAATGTGCTGTTGAATCCTTTGGTGTGCTGTAGTCTTAGACTGTCATCCAGTGTAAGTAGGAAACCTTGTTCCACCAGCCTTGCAAACGTAAGATGGTATGACAAACTGTTGTCCACTGTGATTTGTCACGCAAACCCATCTGTACCCGTGAAGCCTGATGTGTTGGTTGGTCACTGTTCTCAGTTTTGGTCCTGTTCCATGCTCAAGGTGCTGTAGTGGAAATTGTGTTGCGAACCATGGTGGGCATACAGGTGTAGCCGCACCGCTGTCAATCATGAGACTGACCCACTTGTTATCTTCTGTGAATTGTTGTGCTGCGCCAATCATGGCAATTGTTACTTTTTGTAGTCCTGTGTTCGGTACTGCTGATGAATCTGCTGGTGGTGGCAGTGCTAGTTGTTGCATCTGTGTCTGATCCTGGTGGTACCAGTTGCTGCCATAGTGTGCCTGACTGTACCAGTCATCTGTCTGGTCATTGGTGTCGAAGTTGCCAGTGTCGCAGTTGTAGATCGTCACTCTACATTGTTTGGCCATGTGTCCTGGTTGTCCGCATCTGTAGCAATCATTTGTTGCTTGCTTTCTTTTGGCTCCTTTTCCTCCTGGTTGATTGTTGTAGTATCCCTTGCCTTTTCCTTTGTTGCTGTATCCTTTGCCTTTGCCATATCCTTGTTGTCCTTGTATCTTTTGCCTGCTCTATCCTTTCCCTTTGAACGGATTTCCTTGTCCAACCGGTTGTTGATTGTGTTTGCCTTTTCCTCCTTTGTAGTTGTTGTAGCTGTAGTTGTTCCCGTAGCCGCCATAGCCTTTGCCTTTGTTGTACGTTCCTTTGCCCTTGCGCTTGCCTTTGTTTCCTTTGCCTTTGTTGTCCCACGTTGCTCCTATGTCCATTGGTGCTGGTCCTCGTTTTTTGCTGTTGCCTGAGGTGATTGCTTGTAGCTGACTGCATCTGGTAGCGGTGTGTGGTTGTCTTGTTCGTATTTGGCGAGTTGAAACTCCCATGTTGTAAAGCTCTCTTCGAACTTCTGTTCATCGCGCTGTGGTTTGAGTAACCTTGTTAGGTACCCAATGCCTCGTGTGCCAAGTGGTATGGAGTATCTCAGGTGTAGTGGCCGCCATGTCTCGAAGCTGTTGCCTTGCGCGTTTTGTCTGCAAATTGTAGATGCTGGTCCATCGCATGTGCTCACCAAGATGTAGTGTAAGTTGTTGCTCAGTTGTATCCATGCTCTGCTACTGCTTGTGAAGGTGCTGCTGTCTCAAGTTGGCCGTTTGTAGCTGGCAGTTGCGATTGCTCTGACTGTCTCAGCAGTCTGTTGTATGAAGGGTCTTGTAGCCCGTACATTCTTCGAACATGTTGTATTCTCCTGTGAATCGTGGTGGTGCTACCTTGTACTTGTGAATTGCTTCCAGCTGATGCTGTTGCTCTTGTTGTTGTTGTTGGACCGCCGTTCCTTGCGTGTTGTATGGAAAGGCCGCCAGATCTTTCTAGGTGTGTAACTGTGTTCACTGCTGTATCACTGCTGTATGCCTGAACCTGTGGGTGCGTGTTGGAGCTCACCCTGGGTAGTGTGTGTGTGGATCGTGTACCAGGGATCACTGCTCCGCTACCATGTTAAACTTTAGAGCCTCCGGCTCAGTCCGCC